ACTGGAAGCTCTTAGAGGCAGAGGTTTCATGTTTATGTGCCCAGGAAATTCTGGGCACCTGTCTGGTTCCATGACTAATTGCTAAAAATAAATGAGTAATAATGCATTGTTGGTGTGAGGTTTGCTTCATGTCCTGAAATGTATTCTGAAAACATTGATTATGAACTTTCTCTAACCAAAAGAGTCTTCCAAAAGCAGAAACCTGGTGAGAATTACTCAAAGGAAAATGACATTATTGTTTTGGTTGGAGAGTTTCTTATGACTGATATATAACTAGCTATGTACACTGTCAACACCGACTTGAGTAAAAGCAATGCTGTTTTTCTTTAAAGTGAATAGAATTATTGAAGGAGAATTCATGGCTTGGAAGGAACGACAGAGTACATCTATTCTCACCATCGATCCCCATTACAACATTTCCTAGTTGTTATCCAGCTTGTACTTAAATACTTTGCAGAAAGAGAAATCCCCTGCCTACCAAGGTGGTCAATTCTCACTTCAACTTGCTTATTCATACTTTCAAACACTTTAAACTACCTTTCAAAAGTTCAGACATCGTTTCAGACTCTGATAGTTATTTGCTTATGTGAGGTTGAAATGTGAGTTCTTACAACCTACCTTAATAAATCTGGCTTTAATTTCTTAGAAGCTCACAAGTCTAATCCATCCTTTATATACAGTCCTTCAAGTATTTGGAGGGAATGTCCTCTTCCTCGGTCATTCTTATCTCTGTACTGACATCTTCAGTGCCTGAATTCTCTATTCTTATGACATGGTTTTACATCTCCTTCTCCATTCCAGTTTGTTTATACTCTTCCAAAAATAGTATCACCAAAATTATTGCTCCAAATGTGATCAGATCAGCTGAAAGGAAAGTCTAGTGTATTACTCTTTCTTTGTTCACTGTATTTGTTAATATAAACTTAGTAGTCATAACGTCTGGGGCACGAAACTGCTAATATTTATTCCTATTGAACTAATTATTAAATCTAAGATCCTTAGCTCTTATTCAAATGATTGCTTCTAAGTCACATTCCTCCCATTATGTATTTATGGAATTAGTTTTAGGAACTTGGTTTCTTCACTAATTGTTTAATTTTTAAAAATTAGTGAGAGTCTGTACTACAGAGATGAAAGACACAATTTCTACTCTCCAGGAACAGAGGCTAGTAGTAATGATGGATAATTTAACAAAGAATCATAAATCAGGGTAAGTACAAGGACTATAAAGACAAAGTAATGACGACCTATAGAAAGAACACACAAACTTTTACTATTCTTGTTGTTGAAGTCTTAAGGGAGACAAATAAAAAGGCAACACTACAAAGACCTCTCAGAAGAGGTGATATTTGATGTGTGCCTTGAAGTGTAGTAGAAATTAACCAGGCCAAGAACAGATAAAGGACATTACAGACTGTGCTGTCCAACATGTTAGCCACTAGACCACATGCAACTACTGAACACTTGACATGCAGTGCATGCATGTTGAGACGTGTTCTAAGTATAAAATACGCATCACGGTGAGGAGTGAGGGGCACCCCTGATGGCTCACTGGTAAAGAATCGACCTGCCAGTGCAGGAGACACACTGGTCTGGGAAGACCCCACGTGCCGCGGAGTAACTAAGTCCGCGCGCCATGACTACTGAAGCCCTCACGCCCTAGAGCCTGTGCACCGCAACAAGAGGAGTCACTACAATGGGGAGCCTGTGCACTGCAATGACGGGTAGCCTCTGCTCGATGCAACTAAAGAAAAGCCCAAACAGTGACAAAGATCCAGCACAGCCAAAAATAAACAAACATCAGATTTTGAAGACTTGGTAAAAAAGTGGAAGTAAAATATCTCATTACCAATTTTTCTATTGACTATATGTTGAAATCATCATATTTTGGATACATTTGGGTTAAAGTACATTATTAAAGCTAATTCCAACAGATTCTTTTTACTTTTCTAACCTGGCTACTAGAAATTTTAAATTTACTTCTGCAGCTCATTTATATTTCTGCTAGACAGTATTGTTCTAAAAAGTTAGAACAGGCAGAGAGATGAGATAAATAATGAACAACAACCAGTTTGGATAAATATACATATTATAATTTCAAACACATCATTAAGGAATATTTAAGGCCTTAAAGCCTTAAAGCTTGCCACTCATTTCTTTCTTTGGGATTGATGCCAACCTTTCACATTAGTACAAGTCCACCTAGGTATATTGTGATTCCAAGTGATATTTCTTCATATTGCTCATAATGTTTGTTCTCCAAAACAGAAAACACTTTTTATAATCTATCAGTCTTTCTGAGAAATGATGTTTCAGTGTGTTCCACTGCTCCTAAGAAGATCCCTGGGACCATTGCCCAGGTCTGCAGAGTGCTAATCAGCCTGGTATAACAGAGACTCTTTTCCCTCTTCCCCTGTCTGATTTACCCCATTTCCAACTCCATTCCAGAGGATCACTTCCCAAGAGACTCCAGTCACACACAAGCCTCTCCTCAGGCTCTGCTTTTTGGAGAACCTAGGCTAAAATCACTGTTAAAAGGAGTGGCTCTGGAAAATCAGACCCTCCAGATGGGATTCAGAAATGGTTTCACTCTGGTTAAATCACAATAGAATACCTTTGATAGTAACCCCTTGCACGCTATAACATCAATAAGATAAGATGTTTGTCGGTGGTGAATTTAGTTGAAGTGCAGAAGGTAAGGGGGCTTTCCTGGCAGCTCAGCAGTAAAGAATCCACCTGCAGTGCAGGAGATGCGGGTTCAATGCAGGAGGTGCGGGAAGGTTCTCTGGAGGAGGGCATGGCAACCCACTCCAGTATCCTTGCCAGGAAAATTCCATGGATAGAGGAGCCTGATGGGGCTGCAAAGAGTCAGACATGACTGAAGTGACAGAGCACACATGCACGCAGAAGGTAAAACACTGCCCTTGTGAGTAGTACTGGCTCTAGAAATGTATGAATCATAACCAGAGCGAACCTAAATTTATCTGCCTAGTCCTTGAGTACATATTTGGAATGAATATCCTTAGCACCTGAGAAAATTCTCAGGCTGATTCCCTGATCACTGGCACACAGCTATTATGATATATATAAAGAGTCAAGGAAAAAGCTATTTATCGGGTGACTCAAAAAGCTTATTAGAGTAAGCATGGTCAGGAAGAACAGAGGTCTGTACAAGTCATGCAAGCTACCATGGAAGCTGTCATGCTACTGGAGATGTCTGACCTAGCAAACCAACGGTGCTAGAGGTACGTACAGTAGATTAAGCTGCTGTCTGCAATCTCTGACAAACCCTGATGCAAGCGTCATACAGAGAGCAAGGGCTCTGCCACAAAGCCATGCCATTAGCAGGAGAGGGTAAGTTGCCACTTTAAAAGCAAGTCTTTCTAGACCTTAGTGAAGACTGGGTGACTGACAATTAGACACTAAGATTTCAACTGGAGCTGCTATCATAACGTGGGTATAATCAGATCTAGTGAGACTTAAGTGCAGGTGGGCAGACCAGTTGCCCACTTGTATGATGGAATAGGTCGTGAGAAGAGAATAAGAAGAGAACCTAAAGAGAACAAGTAAGCTGTATAAACTGGTGTCATCCCACGTCATCTCTCTGCATCGCACTGAAGCCTCTCCTTTAATTTAAATCTATAGCCTCATGGGTGAGTCCCTAAAACTAGTTAACCCAGGAGGAACAAAAACATGGTCCTGGATCACCAAGTATTAAAACTGAACTAAACTGGTGAGCTTCCCTGGCGGCTCAGACAGTAAGGAATCCACCTGCAATGCAGGAGACCTAGGTTCAACCCCTGGGTTGGGATGATCCCCTGGAGAAGGGAATGGCAACCCATTCCAGTATTCTTGCCTGAAGAATCCCCATGGACAGAGGAGCCTGGCGGGCTACAGTCCATGGGGTTGCAAAGAGTCGGACACGACTGAGCAATTAAGCACAAACTGGTGGCCACCATTTACTTAAATCCCAACCTGCTGCCATTTTGCTCAAAGCTGTTCTTCCAAGTTTGTTCTACCAATAAACCAAAAGACATTATTCTAAGATGATGACAAGGTCAAGAGCAAATACTTACATAATCTTACAAAAATATCCCTACTCAAACTGTGCATGTTTGTCATTAGCATGAGAAGGACTAGCCAGGGCTGGAAATGACCCAGCTAAACCTAGTCAGGAGCAAAGACCACAACCAATCTGTGAATGAATAACATGCCCAGTCTAGGTTAGCCTGGATCAATGGATACCCAGTGACCACAGAGCTGTGAGATGTGGTAATAAATGTTTGACATCTTAAGTCAATGAGTTTGGGGGTACTTTGTTACGCTGTAAGAGCTAACTGATAGAACTGGTAGCCTTTTCTCACACAATGAGAAATGGCAATAGCACAAATCCTGAATCAGAGCCTGCTGGGCATGGTAAAAAAAAACAAGGAAGCCAGAGGGAACAGAGAGGAGTGAATGAGCATAAATTCATAGGAAACAGATCAGAGAGGCAGTGCAGGAAGAGACAGTGAGAGGCGTGTTGGCCGGGTAAAGACTTCGGCATTTATTCTAAGAGAGATGGGAAGCAGCTGGAAGAATCTGACCTGAGGAAAGATGTGATCTGGACTATTTTTAACCACATTGTTCTGATTTCTAGTCTGAGAATAAGAAGGCAAGTGTAGAAGCTGGGACAGTAGTTTAAAAAAAAAAAAGCTACTGTAAATATCTAAGCAAAAGATGATGATGGTTTGGACTAAAATTTCCAATAGTGGGGAAAGTTGTGAAATATGAGAAGACTTTAGATACAGTTTGATGACAGAGAAAAAGGAATTTGCTAATAGATTGAATACAGGGTGTCAAAGGAAGACTGGGGTCCAGGATTACATCAAGAATTTGGCAAGAACAACTAGAAGAGCCAAGGTGACATTTGCTGAAACGTATTCCTGGGCCGAGAAGATCCCCTGGAGGAGGGCACGGCAATCCACTCCAGTATTCTTGCCTGGAGAATCCCATGGACAGAGGAGTCTGGTGGGCTACGGTCCACAGGGTCAGAGTCGGACACAACTGAAGAGACTTAGCACGCATGCACGCACAAGTAAGGCTGCAAAAAAAGCAGGTTTGGGGATTAGCCTATCTTAAGATATTCATAACTTCATCATGAATTGTTTTTAAAGACTTGGAATGAGTCCCAAGTGGATAAGCAGTCTAATTGAGATGAATATTTGAGTAACTGATTAAATGTTGCTTTTCAGTTCACCATTTTTCCTAAATCTCATAAGGATACTAAAAGCTATCAGGTACCAGTTCATAAAATTTACAGAACATTGCTCAAAACATTCAGGGGTATTTAGGACTATATCTCTAATATAACAAGTGTAACCCTGTCATCTATTCTTTATGTTTACACGATTCTATGGAAGGCCTTGTGATTTCATGTTATTAGCACAGAAAAGATGGATAAGTTTGATTTCTACAGGAGGGCTTCCCTTCTTCAGCAGACACAATTTCCAATGGCAACCCAAAAACAGGATTTATGGATTTGGAAGGAAGGCCCTAACAAACCCACTGTTGAGCATTTCAATTAGAGCTTTGAATGATCAATATTCAGCAAGTTACTATCAAAACTCAATTAAAAGTTTTTTCTTGTGTAGCAACATTTTGAGCATGGTGAAGAGGAGATGAGGAAGAGCTGAGCTTTTATTACAGGTAAAGAGAAACTATCACTTCTTGCTCCCAATCTCCCCAAACATATCTAACTGACATCCTGATGACTACATTTTTATAATCCTATTGTTCTCCCTTACAGAGTAGAGTTGGTTTATATTTCTGGTTTCATTGGTTGTTTTTATTAAAACCAAAATCAGTCTGAAACAAGAAGTCAGTGAAAAATTAATTTAATCTGAACAGGCTTGATTGAAAGAAGCTCATTTCTTATAGTTCTGGAAAGCACATTTAAAATATATCAGAACTCTTTCAAAGCTGATGTGTATTCTAATGAAGAAAGAAAACTCAAATCCAGACTTTCATTTATATGTATAATCCACTTGAGATAGGAGGAAGAATGTCAAGCAGTCAAATTAAACAAGCCACAAGTAGGAGCTGAAATAAAAGACATTAGCAGAATCTTGATAGGAAATAGTTTGCTGTTTTTGGGTTTTTTTTTTAAGTTGACTTATGTACTAGGAGTAATATGGTGAAGGGTGCTGGAGAGGAACATGAGCAAAAGATATACAATGTTACTGATGCAAAGGAAACAAAAGTGCATTCACATACACAGGACAGGTAAGAACATACGCCAGGCAGAAAAGGACATCTATTCTTACTGATAAGAATATTCCATTAGGCACCCAAAATATACTAAATCTGTAAGTAAGAAAATCTAATTAAACTCAATTTTGATAGTAGATATTTAACTTCAGTTCACTGTTTTAATTTCTTGCTATCAAGTTGAAGGATTTTTCCTGTTTGGGAAACTATTTCAAGAAAAAAGTTCTTGATTGAAACTGAGTAAGTAAGAAGACAGGATTAGGTATTAAAAAAATAAAAGTTAAAATAGACGAAACAATAAAGCAGGCTGCAGCATAAATGGAACATCTTGGTCAGTAGTATTTGTGGTTAAGAAGTTTTTTTTTTTTAATTTCCAAACCTTCTCTGAAATTGTCCACTTTTCTTACTATTAACGATTAATGAGCAATGATCAAAGCAGACTTTTAAATAAAAATATTTCTTCAATGTGCACACCTACTTTGTATGTCTGCTTATTGTCAAAATTTGCATGAGAAAGTAAACCTCACATGCTCAGAATAGACAATTAAGGACACATTTTTTTGTCAGAGTTATTCGAATCCATTTGAAAAGAATTCAGATCCATCTTGAAAGGCTGAAGATCTCAGCCAACTCTAATCATATCTCTAGTTAATTTAAAGGAGATGCTCCTAAGTTTATCTCAAATGATCAGAGTCCCAGAAAACGAACACAATAAATACAGAATTTAGATTAACCAATTAAAAAATATAGCTGAAGGAGATGCTTGACGGACATACTACAAACAGAACTTTGAGGGACAGCTAAGGATTCTGCCATTTCAAGAAAACACACACCAGGCGAAAGCTGAAAGGATAGCTCCAGGACGATGACAGGGCCTGGCGATGGGTGGGAAGGCTGAATCGGCCACAGTGCTTAAGCCTGGGGGATGTGAACACTGGGCAGTACTTTTTTTTTTCATTTTATTATTTTTTCATTGGAGTACAATTGTTTTACAATGTTGTGTTGGTTTCTGCTGCATAACAGCATTAATCAGCTACAAGTACGCATCTGTTCCCTCCCCCTTAAGCTTCCCCCCGATTTCCCCCATCCCACCCCTCTGGGTCATCACAGTGCACAGAACTGAACCAGCTGGGCTATATATACAGCAGTCTCCCACTAGCTGCCTGTCTCACACACGGTGTGTATACGGGTCAATGCCACTCTCTCAGTTCATCCCATCCTCTCCTTCCCCCACTGCGTCCACCAGTCTGTTCTCTATATTTGCAACTCTATTCCTGCCCTGCAAATAGGTTCATCAGTACCATTTTTCTAGATTCCATATATGTGTGTTAATATACAATATTTTTCTCTTTCTGACTTACTTCACTCTGTGTAACAGGCTCAGGTTCATCCATCTCACTACAAATGACCTGATTTTGTTCCTTTTCATGGCTAAGTAATATTCCATTGTGAATATGTACCAGATTTTTATTCATCTCACGTTTAGATTGCTTCCGTGCCCTGGCTATTATAAATAGGGCAGCACCTAGTTAATTCTTAAAACTAGTATCATATAATGAATGTGGCTATGGACTTAACATACTAAGCACCCCCAAAGATTCAGTGTGATGGCAAATACTTCCTTTTTAACATACTCAGCACCCACAAAGTTTCAATGTGATGCAAACAGACACTGCATATGAGAGGGTTGCAAAATGTTTGCACTGGGTCAGCGATCTCTTGAAAAAGCAAACTCTGGTAACATAGAGAATCTCAACTCTGAGGATCACCATCTCCTTGACGATGCACCATTCCCTCATTATTTCATCTTATAAGAAGCACATCAAGGTATCTGCTTCAAAGTAAAGTTGATACCGACATTCTACCTGAAGTTAGCAGACACTGATTTTCACTTCCTTTCACTGCACTCTTTTGCCTTCTCAGCTCTAAATATACTGTGCTTTTATAAGGGTTAAGTTTCACGTTTATGTGGATTTCTCAAGTGCCTGGTGATCATTCTTTGGTAACATTAACTGCAAATTTAAAAGCCAGAAAAATGCTTCCGTGGCAATTTAATTCTGCTTCTTAGGACTTACTTTTCATTAATTTATTATTAATAATATTTATTTAATGTCTTCAGTTTAGCAGCCAACTGAGAAAAATGAAATTTTCTTCTCTAAAAGAACCTAAGCACAACTAGTCTTGGGTCATTGAGCTAACAATAAGGAAGAAAAAGTCTTTGTAAAGAGTAACTTGTTGTTACTAAGTTGCTAAGTCATGTTCAACTCTTCTGCCACCCCATGCACTGTAGCCTGCCAGGCTCCTTTGTCCAAGGGATTTCCCAGGCAAGGATACTGGAGTGGGTTGCCATTTCCTTTTCCAGGGGATCATCTTAGTTCAGGGATCGAACCCATGTCTCCTGCACTGGCAGGCAGATTCCTACCACTGAGCCACTAGGGAAGCCCAGCGATTAACTTTGGAAACAAAAAAACTATCATTTTTGCTGACTTCACTTTTTTAATTTGGAGGGTACACAAATGCATGATACAGCTATCCTTGGATTTTTTTTTTTTTAAGGAAACTACAGTAGCTTCATAAATCCCACTGGAAATAGAGACCATTGATATTAAGAAATATCAAGGGAACCACTGCAGCCAATTGCCTGATGTTACTATTATTCATAGAGATAGCACTTCAGTTATTAATATGGCAAGAAACAAGCAGTCCTGTGGCACCTACCAAGTGATCGTGAATAAGCTCAGAAGTAAAGAGACAGAGGAGGGAAGGAATAAACTCCAGGTGGGACAGTACTTAATGACCCACCTAGATTTAGAGCCGGAATGCCACAGCACAGAATTAGCACATGAGTACAAATGAAAGGCTTCCTCCAAGGGAAATGTCCCCATGATTGGAAATACCCCGCATGCTGGCGGTCCCCAGACAGGAAGTCCCAGCTTTGGTTCTTCTCTAGAAAGCACTGGCTGCACAGCCATTTTTCTTGGCTTCTTGATTTGTAGCTTGATAGTCATCGTGACCCTAAAGCTAAGCATAAGCTACATGTTGTTCTAACAGAGGCCATGCCAAAGTGTATGGAAAGAAAAGGAGCCAAATATTCACAGATAAAAAAAGCAAACATTAAAACAAGAAAATCTTCCAAGGTTCAGAGGGTCACATCTTTGGGGATTACTTTGCTACAAAATGGTCCGCCTTCAGACTACACTACAAAGAATCGGAGATTCTTCGAAGGCCAGTTTTATCATCATCTATGTTCCATTCTCGGTGCCACTGACAAAAAAGTGCCCAGGAAGAAGACATGTATCAGCAGAGCCACTATATGAAACATTCACATTTCCTTCTTCAGTTTTAAGAAGCACGTTGCTTTTCTGGCTGCTTTAAAAAAAAAAAAAAAAAATGTTTTCTCTGAGTAAATCTCTCGCCTATTATATCCCAGGGATGCTTTGCATGTGAGAGCACATCTAATCAACTACAGATTCTTACCTCTCTGCTAAATGCAGCCAAAAAAAAGAAAAAAACCAAGAAGAAATTGTAACAAAAAGCATTAGTAATAATTTTCAAAATATCATAAGTTGCCAGCAACTAATGGCTGGTGTATTGATTAGTAGTTTGAAATAAACAATGGGCCCTTAATGCTGTAACAAAATGCTGAAGTTTACTGCATCAATAATTCTGTGAAACTACTGAGTTTCAAGGATCTATTGCTGAAATACAGCATATTCTTGAGTGCCCACCAGCCATGATGTTTATATGCATGCAGATATGTTTCCCTACTTAAAAAAATTGCTCGGGCAGAAAATTGATCATTTCAATAATCAGAAAAATCGGTCAGAAAACTTGGAATATTTGAAGAGGTGACTTGACAAGTTTTTTTTGGTTAATCTTTTCACCTCCCTTTCAGGAATAAATGCCAGCAGAAGGAGATACAAAAGAGTCTGATCCTGTGCTAGAAAAGATGGTGCTAATCAAAGGGTACTGACTTGAACCATACCTTAGAAGGACAAAGTATTAAGGACTAATGCATTAATCTGTTAAGCCCCCGTGTCAGCAGAAGGGGTGGGGGCAGTGAGGGAGGGAAAATTGCCCTTTACTAGAGTGCCCTTAATAGGATATACTAGAAACTGAACTTGGAATGAAGAATCGCTCTGAAGCTATGTATACAGTGGAAAGCACAGGGAAGTGTAATCAGACCCACAAGTAGTCTCCATCATAGTGTGGAATCCAAGCTGTCTGCATATTCAAGGAAGAGGTATGCAGTGATTGACAATTTTTATTATACATACTGAGAACTCCAGTAAGCACTGGAAAGTACAAAAATAATGTCTCATTTTTAGTTAGTTACTCCTAATTATTAAAGCCAACTTTCTTTGCCATGGAGGCTTCTGTATCTCTTCTGTATCTCTGACTCAAGCAAGTAGGGGCCTTGCCTAGTCTGGGCTCCACCTCTGTTCAATAGCTGCCACTTGGGACTTCCCTGGTGTTGCAGTGGATAGGAATCCACCTGCCAGTGCAGGCGACACAGGTCCAATCCCCGGCCCAGGAAGATTCCTCATGCCTTGGAGCAACTAAGCCCATGCCCCACAACTGCTGAACCCGAGTTCTAGGGCCCAAGAGCCATAACCACGGAGCCCACATGCCACAACTACTGAGGCCTGTGCGCCTAGAGCCTGGACTCCATGACAAGAAGCCACACAGTGAGAAGCCCGCACATTGCAAAGAAGAGCAGTCCCCGCTTATCTCAACAAGAGAAAGCCTGCATAAAGCAACGAAGATCCAGTGCAACCATAAATAAATGAACAAGTTGCTGCCACTGAGTGAGTTTCAACCATGTGTCCGGCATTTAGTCCCTGTCTCTACTCTTTGATCCAAATCCGAAAGGCAAGTATTTTCATTTCCCTTCACCCATATCTTCACAAATGTAATAAAAGTGACTTGAATCTGTCACATAGCTAGTATAGTATAGAGATGCTGGGTTTAAGTCTAGGTCCAGACTCTATGAATTCTTCATGATGGCTCACTAGAACTCAGAATTTCCCTGAAGAAGGATGTACTGGTGGCCCCAACCATGTGGCTGTGGGCTAGCAATATGTTACACTAGTCGCCGCCCTGCCCCTGGCTGACTGGCAGTTTAGGGTGAATGCATTTCCACCTCTTTGGCCTGTAGTAGTTCCACTCATTATGGAAAACTTGGGTTTCTGCCTTGGTCATTGCTTTTATAACATAGAGTATTTCAGACATGCCTGCTCTGTACTGCTGCCTTCCATTTTTACCCCTTCCAGACTTACAACTATCATGAAGGAGAACAGTGATTATAGTTTATTCATTCTGCATCAGGGACTCTGCCAAGTCTTTTAGACACATTGTCTTGTTTACTTTTCACAACCACCTTATAAGGTATATATACACATGTGTATTATAACCATTTCAGGAAGCAGAAAACAGAGGTTCCAACAGGTCCAGTAATTTGCTCAAGGCCACACAGTTGATAAAGTGATAGAGTGAGGGTATAAACTTAAGCTCTGGACTCCAGTTCCAAGATTCCAGCTACCAAGCTGCACTGCCTTTCTCTGACGCCTCCTCCGAGGAAATTCTAAATTCTAACAGTGACTAGGGCCCCCTCTGCCTAACCATCTGAGGGGTGCAGACTGTCATGGTTCAGTCACTTTCGAGATCTGGGGTCACGTCCTAGGACTTGAGTTCTGTGGACAAGTGCCTGCAGGATTTTAACCCACTGACGTCCTCCGACTTGTGGTGCGGTGAGCTCTGTGTGGCAGATGAAAGCTCCCTTCAACACCTGCGGTGAGGCTGAGCCCTGGGGATCAGTCTCACCAAACAGGAAACATGCTCTTCTACTCCAGCCAGTTTTGTCTGGGTGTGTCCATACCCAGACCATTCCTACTACAGAGAGGACCCCTGCGTCCTCACCCCGCCATTCCCTTTTGCAAAGGGACGGAGTAGAAGAGTTCTAAGGAGAACAGGGAGCTGATGCGGCTTTCCCCACAGTTCAGACAATCTGCTCATCTCTCTGCTCAGTCCAGGCACCCCTCCTGCTCAACACACCGCACAGAACCCTCCCTCCTGTGCACGTATTTCTCTCAACAGCAAGTTTCCTTAGGGCCAGACCAGAGAGCTCCCCGCTGACATCCCACACCTCTAGCTCTCCAGCTCAGACTTGCTCAACAAGCTCCTGTGATAGCAACACAAAGTAAGGAATAAGAGCACAAAACAGAAGCCAAACGGCAGGCACAAATGCTGGTGTGTCTTCCACTTGTAGAACCCACATCTTCTGTCAGCCACATAAATTACCAACATGTCCTCCCAAAACCCATCATAAGCTTAACTTCAAATAATTAGAAAGCAAGAGAGACAGAAAAGAAATGGAGGAAGATTGAGCCTTTGATTTCTCTGATCAAAAAGGCCTTTCATAGAATCTGTCTTTATAAACTCACAAGGTCTTTCGCCATGACTAAAACACACTCCCAAACCAAACCCTGCCCAAGAAACTGACAGGACTTGCAGTCATTTTTTTTCCATCATCTTCTTGCTTCTTCATAGTACTTTTCTACTTCTCATTTAAGCTCTTACCATTTATCATCTAAATTAGTCTCACAGGCAGCTTTCTTTACACAGTAGGTATGGATCCTTGAAAAGATGAATAGACGTCAGAGCTCTATCAGTTGAATCATATTTTAGGGAGTCCTCATGTTCAACTCTGTCCCTCTTCAACCCGCATCATTTCTCATCATTTAAGTTAAAAGTTCTCTGCTCCAGAATGTCTGTATTTAATAATTAATGGTCTGTAAACAAACATTTGAAAGCATTAGAGGAGTTCTCTATTTAAAGTAACTGAAAAATCCCCTGGAGGAGGGCATGGCAACCCATCCAGTATTCTTGCCTGGAGAATCCCATGGACAGAGGAGCCCCAAGGGTTACAGTCCATAGGGTCATAAAGAATCACAGGTGACGGAACATGCAAGCAACTACAGGAGGAAATGACATGTATGGTTCAAGAACTGACCTTCCCATCCCCAGATCCTATGGACCGAACTCACAGGGACTTGGTGGTTGGTGAGAAGGAGGAGTTGTGGGAAAGTCTTTGATTCCGGGGAAAAGACTGGTAACGGGTGGTGTGCTGGAAAAGATGCTGGTGACTGTGAATCTGGTGAGCCAAGAATTAAATTATCCAGAAAAGTCTTGACGGATGTAGCCAGTCAGGCACTTCCATCATGGGATTCTGATTTAGGAGGCCTGGGGCTGAGCCCAGAAGTCTGTCCATAGGAAGTACTGCAAGACAGCCAGAGGACCATACTTTGAGAATCACTAGAGCAGAATGGTTTAGAACAGTGCTTCTCAACTTTATTATACCAAAGAATTTCTCCAGAGAGCTTACTAAAAACACAAATTCCAAGAGGATGCAGTTTCATAGATTGGCAGATGTCAGAACTTGCATGTCTAATAAAATCCACAGACCCCAATGTTTAGAATAGCACTGATACAACACACTGGTTCTCAGACTTGACTACAGAGTGGAGTCACCTAGAAAGTAAAAAAAAAAAAAAAAAAGATTGATGCCTGGTTACCACCCCAAAGAGTCTGATTAAACTGGTCTGTAGCCTGGGCATAGGGATTTTTAACAAATTCTCAAGTGACTTTAATATGAAGCACATGAATGTCTTTCACTTAGCAAGTATTATTCAGCACCTGCTGATTGGTCAGAGTATCTACTGTAACAAATGATCCAAAATCTCAGTGGTCTAACACAATAAAAATGTATCTTTTGTCATACAAAGTCCCATGGGGATGTCCCTGTTGGGGATACTCTCAAGGAAGCTCGGCCCCAAACGGTGACTCAGAGACCCCGGTGTCTTCCATATTGTGACTCTGCCCTCTGGTGCTTCCAGGATCATTCTGGAATCATCATGCTGACACACAGAAGGAAGAGAGGCAATGGGGCAGGAACCTCAGATTCTTAACTGCCTCAGTTATTCCACCAACCGGGGAAGGTGAAACCACACGTGGGCATTAGTGAGCACCAAATTTCTGGCTGCCTGGTTGTGTATGAGGCACAATGATACAAGCGGGGAGGGGGGCTTCCCTGGGTCTAGTCCTTAAGACTCTACCTTGCAATGCAGAGGACCCTGATTTGATCCCTTGTCAGGGAAGACGCCACATGCCACAAGGCAACGAAGCCTGAGCACCACAGCTACTGAAGCCTTTGTGGTCCAGAGCCTGTGCTCTGCAACAAGAGAAGCCGGCCCGTGCACAGCTGCAGAGCAGGGCTCACTCACTACCACTGGAGAAACTCCACGGGCAGCAAGGAAGACCCATCACAGCCAAAAATAACATAACACATTCTTTTTCTTTAAATTTATTTTTAATTTTAAAATACATTTTTATACAGAGAATACAAGCCATGGTGCTGAATTTGGGGGTTATTTATTACAATAGTGTGGAGAAGGAAATGTTAACCCACTCCAGTCTTCTTGCCTGGGAAATTCCACAGACAGGAGAGGCTGGCGGGCTACAGTCCCTGGGGTCGCAAAGAGTCAGACACGACTGAGTGACCGAGCGTTACAATAGAGAGCCTCTCTGACCAGTGCAGCAAGGACTGAATAAATCTCATATAAGCTTTGCTTCTGGAAACACAGAGCTTATCACTTTTACCTCCACTTGACCTAAAAGGAATCAGCCTGGGACAAATCCATTTACAGAGAGGAACTCAAGGCAGTAGGATGTGGCAGCTGATACATGCTGCTATTAAATCTACTTTTCCTTTTTGGCATTTGATTATACAGTCTTGAGCTACAGCCTTGATTTCCATTATCAGTAAAACAAAAATAATAATTTTTATCCTTCAGTGTTATTTTGAGAATTAGAGGAGCCATGCTAAGTATATTACTCAGTAGGCCCTTGATAAGTTGTATTATTCTTATGTATTATATTCTTACACATTCTTATGTTATTACTGATGAATTCTTATAACTGCCTCGTGCGTTTCCTCTAATAAAACTTCAAGTCCTTGAGACTAAGGACCATGCATGCAAAGTCACTTCAGTCACGTCCAACTCTTTGCAATGCTATGGACTGTAGCGCACCAGGCTCCTCTGTCCATGGGATTCTCTACACAAGAACACTGAAGTGGATTGCCATGCCCTTCTCCAGGGGATCTTCCTGACCAGGGATCAAACCTGCATCTTTTACGTCTCCTGCATTGGCAGGCAGGTTCTTCACCACTAGTGCCACCTGAATTCTTGTAACTCCCTTGTGAGTTTCCTCTAATAAGACTTCAAGTTCTTAAGAGTATGGACCGTAGCTGATAATTTTTCCATATGGCACAGTGTACCCAGCAAGTGAAAGACACAGAAATATTCCTTGATAAGTATCTGTTGAAGTTAGGTTCACCAGGGGTGAGTCTGGGAGCCTGGGGCTGGCAGCTGTCTCAAAAGTTTCCTATGAGAATTATTGTTTCTAACATTGGCACTCCTATGAGGAAAAACTCTATAAACATCCCCAAGGAACTAATATGATAGAGTGGAACTATTGCAAAATGAGAGCAGTTAAATTTCATGAAAAAGTCTGCACTTAATCATCTTCAAAATAGTTTAGGATTCAGACTTCCACATTGGTTCTATTCAGCCCTTCCCTCTCAACATTGGAAAATTCTTCACCAAAAATATTCCCCCCCAATTGCAGATTTAATCAACAGCCCATTTTATAGATGAGGATCTACTGCTCTAAGAGAACAGGCATGTGTCCATGTTTCGGAACCTAAGTGGCAGATTCAATTCAAATCCAGTTTTTCTGCATCTAAATC